GGACACAATTGCAGTCGTGCTCAGGGGGAGGGGGAGATGGCTGCGGTCGTGCTCGTGCAGGGAAGACAGGGGCAATCACAGTCGTGCTCAGGGGAGGGGGGGGAGATGGCCGTGATCTTTGTTGTTGTTACTTTGCTGTTCCTTGTCATTTTGTTTCAAATTTTTGTGATAAAAAATGGTTACAGAACAGATTAACCTTATTTACATTGAACCTTATGGGGAAACTTGGCATGGCTCACGACCAATTTGGGTTGTGACCAGTGTCGTGGAACAGATTAAGTTCATGAGTCAAGGTACCACTGTACTTGCCTAGATTGTAGATACGGTTTTATTAAAAATCTGATCATTTTTATTTATTCTTTGTATTGTAATTATTACCTCAACAGTGAGAACTGCTTATACAGCTGAATACTTAACTGAAATGGATCTCAAAAATCAGAACTTTTTCATGCCAAATCAAAAATAAGAGCAGTCTCACAAATGGAGTGAAGCTGCTGTATGGGAGGGAGTGGGCATATAAGAGATGGTGTCAGGAACCGTTACACACTGGACTTTTATGCAACAGTGGAAGATCATTCTGCACTTTAATGCAGATTTCAATAATCTTTTAATATACTTTTTGGAATCATACTTACATGGTTTAAAGGGGACCTTGATGGAAACCAATATAAGCAAAAACTGTAAGCTATCACTTCACATAAAATAAAAATAGATACTCTGGCTTCAGGAAGGCGTCTCAAAATTAATACACAGGACTCTTAGTCAAACACAGACTGCTATGATGTTCTTCTAGATGATATCACATAATTGAATCTCATTCAAACCATTGTATATTCTTAATATATAGTCTTACTTTTATAAACTACCTTGGAAGGATAACTAACCCCTTGCTTTAAACATCCATTGAATAATAAGATAAGTATTTTGTTTTCTTCTAAAGTTTAGGGTTTTTTTTAGTTAGGCCTCATGAAAACAGCTCCAACTCCTTCCAAATCTACCTATAGCAGTTTTATATTTTGGTAGCATTACAAAAAGCAAAATGGCATGTTCTTTTCAAACAATGAAAGCTCTTTTCCTAATTTTTATTCCTTCTAAATCAATTTCTTCTTATGCCACAAGATTTTATTTAGAAAAACCAAGCTCCCACTAGTTGCCAATGAAGCTAGTTTCTTAAAACATTTGTTTTACATTTAAGCATTAGCCAAATGATCAGCATTGCAGTATCCATCAAGAACTTTGGTTACTCCTACCCACAAAGATCTTTAGCACTCAGATATTAATCCAATATAGTGATTGCTCTCACTTTTCCTTATCAGGTTTTGAATAATAAGAAAGCTGTCTTGAACTGAGTTCAAATATAAGTAAACAGGATATTGTGACTGCATTTAATGGATAATAAAATATCATTTTGAGTAGGCTGTGGTACTGTTTTGGCTACTTTTCTGAGCACTGAGATGTTAAATGATATAACTGTTCAAACCTAAGGCATGATGTTAACTCTTTATGTTAAAAGTGATCCACTTTTCACTTTTGAAATAAAAGGATTACATTCTCAACCCAGGGAAAAGCACTAGGTCAGGACTGCAATCTCTATTAATTAGGTATCCCAGCTGGGCAGTGGGTATGCAGCTGTTAACTTGATCAATGACTTACCTAAATGTCATCTCTACTGATTCGCTTATAAATTACCAGCAAGTGAGACTAATGTACAGGTGCTAATTTATTTAAACTGTTCTCTACAGTTCTACATAGCTTTATAAACTGCATCTGGCACCTAATGTTAGCTGTCAGTTGTACTTAGACATGCCTGTCCTAACGACTCTGTTCATTAGAAATGAGCACAAATTATGAAATATTGTGAAAAATGATACATCAAATGGAATGGGCAAAGCAAATCAATTAGAGAAACTTCATACTGCATATTCACACATAGGAGAATAAAACATCCTGATTTCAGAGCACGGTCTATAATACCAATTAAAAAGCAATTGGTAGACTTCTGCAGAGTTATATATCAATTTGCTGGGCTTTCCCCCCCTAAGACACACAGTTGTAATTTACAGCTTAACTTTTATTTCTAGAAAATAAAACCACTAGTAAGGCACCACTATGTGCAAATATATCCTGTGAAAGCAACGACAACACTGTTAACTTATTTCTTTGTATGACTTGTTTCAAAACACACATATCCAAAATGTCACTAAGAAAAGAACCCTAGGATGTCTACTTTGGAAATGCGCTGCACGCGCTGATTAACAGCAGACGACAGGAGATGCATAAGCACTCATCAGAAGGAATTATTACCATTCCAAGTGTAAAGCCTGATAATTCTGCTGCCACTGCTAAGCGGCTTTTATATTTTTATAACAGAAATTTAATTATGCATAGCAGACACTTTTATACAGCCTAAGTATTTACAACATCTGATGTTATGTGAACAAATTGAACAAGCATTATAAGTACTGTGCCATGCTAAGTAAAATGTTGTTCTTTGTTGTCTTCATCAGTTTTTTAAAAGATCAAGTGTTGAACTGTTCTTATACTTTACATCTACAGTAAGGAGAAAATGAGATTTTCAGGATATACCTAACTATCTTGAGGACAGGTTGCTAATATACCTGGAAAGCTTGATAAAATAGGTCTGGGCCTACCTGCTAGTCCATAAGGTTATTCATGTAATTTAATTCATTGTTTCTGTAGCCACTGGCCAAGGTCTGGCACTCGATCTTGAATTACTCCTTATAGCTTATCAGGGTAGTTTATTTTGGAGACTGTGTTTTGTTTTTCCCAAGTGGCTTCAGGTGGATTTTTGCTACTGTTTTTAAAGCATGTAATAGTACGAGAGGTTGCTACTGAAGCTCTGGGGAAGATGTAATGCAATTTTTAACAGTCCGACTCAATTGCTTTGGCAGCAAGCTGTATTCTAAAATAAAGGTACTGCTAAACAGATATAGAAGCAGTAGTGGCATGGGAAGGGCACTCCTTGTAGAGGAAAGATGGGAAGGCAAGTAACACTGATCCCTCCCCTGCCCATGCTTGTCCCAACCAGGCTAGAATACCAGAACTTAGCACTTACAGGAAATGGGATGAAGGGGAGATGAAGGAAACACATGTAAGGGATGAGTTCAGCATCTCTCTCCTGCCCACCATGTCTTGTTTTAAAACCCATCTCCCATTTTATCATTGTTTAGTACAATCCATGCTTTTCCAAATGCAGGTTACAAATATGCAATTCAAAAGTGTGCAAGCTTCCTTTCCAGTTATATGCTGAGTAAAAGGCAAAGTTTTTCAAAAGGTATGAAGAAGAAAGAAGAACCTGGGTTAGCATAAGTGTAAGACTTTATACAAGAAAAAAGGAAGAGTGATGAGTGATAGAGTAAATGTATAGAGTGATGGAGTAGACAGATTAAAAGATAAAGGGCTTTTCAATTTTTCAGCATTTTGATCCTATACTAAGTTAAGTAACATTATCGGGTTCTAATATGACCTGCTTTGATTTCACGATTCCTGGCATTCAAATAGATTGGTGCAATCACTGGATCTAGGCCAATTAAGTCACAAAATTGTTCTTTACAGTTACTGCACGGGGCCTGCATCTGTATGCTGCTGCCTCCCCATACTTTTCCACAAATCAGCATAACTGTCCATGCTTGCTAGAAGTCAAAACTTTCTCATGCCTGTCTGCTAGAGTCAAGACTTTCTCATCTCACCTATGAGTCATGCAGATCAGTCTTCCTCTCTGAGGAACTGGAAAACTGGATCACTTTAACAGTAGATAACTCCTGTCTGCTTTAACACAAACTAACTAGGACCAGAAAGGAGAGGGTGCAAATGCATCTTGAACTTTTCTTGAAGAAGAAGTCAAGAAGCATAGGGTTAGTTTGTTAGCCCTTATAAAGTAAATAAACTTGAATGATTATGCATGTGATTCTAAAATAAACTGCTGATTATCATAAGGATCTGAATGCTGACTGGGACTTTGCAGTGTGTCCATAGAACAGAGCTGCCCTGAGAACAATACTGCTCCTATAAACATGGCTTCATGCTGAGGCACACAGTTCCAAGGGCAATGAATGTACTAGACTAATACATAAATTGTACACTGATTTCCATTACAAAATCTTTTCTTATTTTCCAGTGCCAAAATACAGAACCAAATACCTCCTAACAAACCAGATGCATGCATTTTAATGGAAAGAATAAAAAAGAATGTAAAAAGCTGGGAAAAAAGTACAATGAAGCAAGAAAAATAAGAATCATTTTCTAAATAACAATGTTGGTTACATATACTTAGAAGTAAGTTCCCTTGGGTCTTATTCCAAAATAAGTGCACACAGAGTTGCAGACCAAGTGTTGGTCCTAAAGTGTAGGAAAAGGTCACTAGCTGTTATCGTATCATACATGAAACCCCAGCATAAATATACCCAGCAGGTCAAATTATGGGTAAATGCTTCCAAATGCTGTATAAACCTTGATAGTGGTTCTTATGACCTCAGATCAGGGGGATTATCCATTAGTAGTTTTTAAAAGAACCTGCTGTGCTTTAGCAAGGTATGGTATAGAGTTCTACACTGTGATGTCTGACCTCGCACAGTAGTGGGGTAGAATCTCTATTCAGAGCCACAGATGCAATGTTTTCTATGTATAGTAGTATTCTCTCGTATGCTGACGGTTCGATTAAAATTCACAGAGAGCTGAGGGGCTCATGCTGAAGCAAAGAGCTTTCAATTCTGAAGCCCTGCAGTAAATTACTTCTCCAACTGAGCAACCATACTTACATCAATATCCTCTTGGGTAAAAGTTTCTGGATCTTCTCCCATCATGTTGGCTAAATGTCTCTTTCCTATGTTGAACTCTTCAATCTGTTTTTTGATATAAACTTCTGTGTACTTTTCAGGTCTTGAAGGAGCAATGTTTTTCTTGTGCACTGCTATAGTAGTGCAGATCTGTCGGAGAATCTGAGAGGAAAAACAGAGAACAGCTATTAAACTAATATGAACTAGATACCATGCACATCATCTAAAGGCACATGGTATAGCAATCTTGGTGCAATTAAAGAGGTCCAGGCTGCCTGCCCCCCCCCCATGGATGCCATCTTAACTTCCACGATGGAAGAAAGGTAGGAAATGCATGCAGTAAACATTCACACAGTTACACAGAGCAAGGCTCGTCTAGTTAAGTTCAACTGAAATGCAGCTATCAGCATGGATATTTTAATAGCTTAAATGAGTATGTGTAGGGGTTAGATCAGAGGAACTCAAATGCCAAAATTCAAAGCTGTGCAATGATTTTATAAGGATGAGCCAAAATGCCACAAAATAGTGAGCAAGTTATCCAGTTTTCCAGCACTCTTCAACAGATCAGATGTTATACAAAGCAGGAAGTACAGGAAGCAGAAACAGTAGAAAAAAGACAGCAAAAATTTCAAAAAGCGTTGCATAAGAATATATTCATAATGTCTGTCTCTAAACTAAATCTCAAAATGAAGATTGCAGACTGAGTTAAATTAGTCTCTGTTAGGTGTGGGTTACACCTAGGATTCTGGGACAAAGAAAGAATAGTTGACACCCAGTTTCGCAAACAAAGTCCAAATTTCTCTCTAGCCTTAAATGAAATGCATGGGAGGGGTAGAGAGCAGAAAAAGAGAAATATGGCAGTCTTTATGTTAGAAAAGCAGAAAAATAATTTTATGTGATGTTCTAGGTAGAAAAAAGTCAAATTGCATAGCATAACCTAATAGAAGTAGCAAATGAACCCCCCCCCCCCAAAAAAAAGCAAAGTCCTCCTCTGGTTTGTTGAAAATAATCTTCATTTGGTTGTAACACCCACTCCATGGCTAAATTTAATACGTACGAAGACACATAAGATAAAGTAGCCACAATGCTCCATGAGAAAACCTTGGTCCATAAGATTCCAGACATCTGTTATTTTATGTGGTTTGCTTCCTATCTACTTCAAATGGTTATCCATGAAAATGTTGGGTGGCCTCAAGCTAATGATAATTTCTCACTCTAATAACTCAGTTAAACTTCAAGGCAAAGTTCAATATATTTTTACACAAAATAACCCACTCAAAGCTCTGTTACCCAAACAAACTCATCTATATACAATATTTCAGATCAAACAAGCTAAATGAAACTTTGTTGCTCCTTTCCTAAGCAAAGCTCAAGGAACAAGTGTAAAACAAGTGCCATAGCAAGATTAATGGTAAATACCTGGCACATGCCATGTAAATGAATTCTCATTAGGGGCTATTCTTTCCTGATAAACTTGGTGTTTGGAAGCAGATGTCACAATAAAGCAAGTTATTATTATTACTTTTATTGCAAACTGCCTGCCTTTAAACATGATGGCAGAACTAATTTACAATGCAACACCAAAAATCTCTAATAATTTGGCAAGATTTTGGCAAGGTCAGGGCAGAAAAAAAGCAGATAAACATTAACCAGCTTGGATCATGCCGACACAGAAGGGGAGAAAAATTCAGGAAGAGAAAAGAACTGTAAGGAGCTCACAGAATTATATTCAACTAAGTCATTAAATAACAACGTTTTAACACTAGTGATTTTTTCAAAAGAAAATGAAAGCCCAGATATCTAGGACAAATTTTGCACCAACAGCCCAATCTAGCACTTATTTTCTGCAGTGGTTCATTGTCATAAATGGTAGATATTTCTTACATGCATCCAGAATATATTAAGACTGTATTTCTTCTGTTACATTTAAAAAATACATCCTCAGTCACATATTCTGGATGCAGGCTCTATCTACCATTGCTGGAAAATGTTAACCACTTCTTAAAACTTCAGATGAGCATTCAAAACTTGTTCGACTGATCATTCATTCATTCATTCATTCATTCATTCATTCATTCAGGAGACTTCTATGCCGCCCCATTCGCTGAAGCCTCGGGGCAGCTTACATCCATAAATAAACTTCCTTAAAATAATATAAATTAACAGTATAAATTAAGTCACCCTGGCCAAAGAATAAAATGAATAAATACTATTAACAATTAAAATGACATTTGAATAAAAAGGTCTTCGCCTGGCGCCGAAAAACAAATAACAACGGCGCCAGGCGGACCTCTCTGGGGAGCGCATTCCATAGATTGGGCACCACTGCAGAGAAAGCCCTCCTCCGAGTACCTACCCTCCTAATTTCCTTCACGGAGGGTTCCCGGAGAAGGGCCTCTCCCGCAGATCTGAGGGGGCGGGTGGGCATATATGGACGTAAGCGCTCCTCATGCTCCATTGCTTAACATATTGACAAACACAGCCCATTGGAAATCTTGGTTCAGAGGCCAACAGTTTTGGCTGAACAATTTATTCCCTCCCTCTTAAAACCCTAGTACGATTGCCATCACTGCTTACTAGCAAACACAATTCCTTTTCAAAACAATGGTCCAAAAGACAGTCATCTTCTGGCTTTTGTGGAAGATATAAGATATGGCTAGACAGATTTGTTTTTCTTTTACCAAGATAATCAGTGGGTAAAGACAACTGTAATTTCAATCAAGCGCTCTGCCAAAGGAATAGAAGAATCACTGGCAAAGCAGTAATGGCTCAAGCTTGGCAAAGAGCCATCTTTATGCACTACTTTATTTGTCCTGTGTTCATATTAACAAAGCTTCTCAGCAATCTAATTATTCTGTAAACAGATTACTGGAGTTGTCTCCCAGGAAAGAAAAAAGTCACAATGAAAAGCTCCAGAAGTTGGAGAGGGCAATCTTGTAGGTACAGTCAGCAAGCTATTCTAGATCAGAATTTAAGGAAACAATCAGCTAGCAGCCAGGTATTTTGGGCTGAAATTTGACACTCATTCTTATCTCAATTTAGTCCTGTGCCTCATATGCAATTCTTATTGTCTCACCTGCAAAGTCTTATTGATTTCAATAGTGTGTTCTCACAAGTAAACAAACAAAGAATGGGTAACTTAGCTATTTTATGCATAAAAGTTATCTAGTAACATGGAAAAGGCACAAACAAGGCACAAACTTGGTTTTGAGCAAAAATTAGGAGGATGCCATTTTTACTAGCTAATACCTGATGAACTGAACTCGACATGTAAAGGTAAATCATACTAGCACAAGCTTTATACAAAAAAGGTACCTAGCTATAATTCCTTATACAATCATTACAACACCCAAAGGCTAAGGGAATCCTTTACTAATAGAACGGTCAGAAATCAAAGTCAGTCTCCATTCTGGAACCCAATTCTCCTTTCTATCATGCTAAAGGCAGAAGGACCACCTTTTATTTAGTCCAATATGTGCTTTAAGTAGAAGCAAAGATCAGTGCTGTGCATTGCCTCTAAGTCTGTTTGTTGTATGAACAGGACCCTTTAATTATTTCTATTAGAGATCAAGCCTCTATCCAAGCAGTAGGAAAATATTTAAGGAACTTTTCTATACTGATACTGTAATTTCTCCTTTAAAGCTGGGAAAGGTTTTGTCTCATTTAGTCCATCTTATCAACACTTTTTTCCAGAGAATTCAGGTTTTTTAAAAAAAATCAAAATGTCTAAATCAGTTTAGATGGGGTTTAATTCATCAGAGCAAATCATGATCCATATATCTAATCAGTTTAATATACAACAAAAATCCACAGTAAATAAATATGTGGGTAATAGGAAGCATTCTATCAGAAGTTATTTTAGTAAATACAGATAGTTTAAACTGACATCATGGATGAGAAATGTTTCTCCAATCAAAATGAATATTCTACAAAAACTTTTTTATTAGCCAGAATTCTACTCAAGGTTCAAATGTGTAGATGGGAGGAATGGCAAAAAATGTGCAATAGGATTATCCGGTCAAGCATTAATTAACTGCACTAATTAGCGCAATTGGTGATTGTACAAATTACTTTGAGCCATCCCCGGAAAAGGAAAGAAATTAATTTACCTTTCTTTTTTAAGGCTTTCCATGCAAATGTACGATTTGCACATTTTTCAGATTGGATCAGTAAAATATCCACATTTAGAACAAGCAGTACATTATCAGAGGAAAGTAATTATGAGTAGATTGACAGAATCCACAAGTAAAGACTACAATGAAGGTATGTATGATTTTGCCCTATGATAGGAAAAGCTACAGATCCTGCCTAGCTCCTGGACTATTACTTTAAGTGAAACAAGTAAAACAAGTATTTTGATGTGATTAATAGGAGGAAAAAGGTTTAACAAGTGTTGTCTGTTTGTTTGGCGGGAGGTACTACTTATATGTCTGTGTCATGCACTTCTGAGGCTGCCACATGCTCTTGAAGTTCTGCTCAAGAGTACCTGCAACAGAACATTTAGAGCTGCTTACCTAGTCTCTGAAACACTTTATTAATTGATATTAGACAGGCCCAATAAATTCTGATAAACAGGCTTGTAAACAGGCTTTCCCTGAAGTCTGATCCAGACAGTTATGGCTTGTAGCACACAGCAGAGAGTGCTGTTTGATTGCTGATTAATCGCTATTCTGTTGTTGTTATTGTTGTATTATTTTTATGCTACAGTATTTTATATTCTCCACCATACTTTTGTGAAAAGCACTATATAAATATGAGAAACTAAAAACTATCCGTTAAGTATTTATTATATTTAATGCAGATTTTTCATCTACATCATGTGATCAATGTCCTTATATGCAAATATGACAGAGCAATCCTATGACTTCTCTATTGATGAAGATCCATAAGTAGACACAGCAGTGAGCTCAGGGGTGGGAATGTAGAACAATTTTTTTTCTGCCTCACACCTGCTGCCCATTCCACAACAGCTTCTCCTTTAAGGACACAATATCATCCTCATAAAAGGTTAGAAGGAATGGAAAGGGGGCACTGCAGTGCATAGTGGGGGAGCAAGACAGGCCTGGGTCTGCTTGAATCAAAAGCCTATCTGTCACCATCCTTACCTGCTGGTGAGTCAGGTACAGGGGCTGAGGTTGAACCAGCTGAAATATTTTTAATAT